TATTTAAGAAACGGTTTTAATATCCATTTGATGAATTTCTAGATTGTATAGAGATGCAATGGCAATTAGCATTCTAATGGATGTTATTCTGTAACCGGTGAGTATGTGTCAAAGTAATCTAGACCTTCTTTTTGTCTAAAACCTTTGACTACAAGTCTTGCCTTGTATTTGTCTATTGATCCATCCACTTTCAATTTTCTTTTGAAAATCCACTTGTACCCAAGAGGTTTACAACCTGGGGCAAGTCCACTAATTTCCAAGTGTGATTTTGCAAGATGGATTCAACTTCACTGTTTTACAGCTTCTTTCCATAAAGGAGCTTCAGGACTGGACATAGCATCTTTAAAAGTTAAAGGCTCATTTCTAACAAATATGTTAGAAAATCTGACCAAAAGATTTTGAGGTTCTAGCACGTTTACTACGCCTAAGTTTCTCTTCCTCATTTTGATCTAACTCTTGTTCTTGATATGTTCTTGATCCTGACTAGTAATAACATCAAAAGATCTTTTATTAGTACTAGTCTCTTTGTTCAGTCTTCTTTGGAAATACATGTTCAAAGATGATATGCATTCCGAGACTCAATAATAGTATTTACATGCATTTCGGAATGTTCTGATTTATGAATCAAAAACCGATAAGCACTACTATTCTTGGCATAACCAATGAAAATGCAATCAATGGTCTTAGGACCTATCTTAGTCTTTTTAGGACTAGGAATAGACACTTTAGCCAAACACCCCATACTTTTAAGTATTTGTAGGATGGTACTCTTCCATGCCACAATTCATAAGGTGTTTGATTTATTTTCTTTCGGGGTACTTTATTTAAAAATATAATTAGCAGAAAGTATTGCTTCCCCCACAAGTTCTGAGGTAATCAGAACTTATTAACATGACATTCATCATTTCTTTTAAAGTCCTATTTTTCCTTTCAGCAATGCCATTTTGCTGAGGTGAGTAAGGAGCGGTGGTTTGATGAATTATTCCATGTTCTTTACAAAACTCACCAAAAGGTGATTCATATTCACCACCTCTATCACTTCTAAGTTTCTTGATTTTCTTACCAAGTTGATTTTTCAACTTCATTCTATATTGAATGAAAGTTTCCAAAGCTTCATCCTTGGTCGAATTAAATAAACATAACTATATCTAGTATAGTCATCTATAAAAGTGATAAAATACTTTTTCCCACCTCTAGTTTGAATTGATTTAAAAT